GTCATCCGAAACTTCTTTGGTGTTATGAATCTATTGAGAGCTCTCAAGTCCAATATTGGTCTGAGACCCCCATCTCGTTTCGGGACCGTAAAGTATCTGGAATAGAACCCGTGGAATCCCTCCGATAACGACAGGAGACGAATAGCTCCTTTAGCAAGGAGTTGGTGAATCTCATCTAACAATACCAAGGAAGTTGGAGTATAGTGGATAAGATTCGGTGATGGCACAACGTAGAATTCGATTCCATATTCGTGCTGAATGATAGATAACACCCACCCATCAGATATGATGGACTCCCAAATGGAGAGCCGACTCTTCAGTCGATCCCCAAATGAGAGGGGGGAGGGTAGAGTTGGAATGAAAGGAGAGGTTCGCTCATCGCATCAGCGCTGTTGCCTGTCCATATCAAAGCAGCAGCGGCCCTGTTGGAAGTGCTGGGGTGGTTGTTGCCTGCGACGCTGCTGACATTGATGCGGTTGCTGTTGCCAAGGCAGAAACTGTTGAAGGTACTGTGGATGTGATCATGACCACTTACGTCGGGGTAGAGATTGCAATTCCATACGATGGGCCGTCATCCTTGATTCATGGATTTTCTTCAATTTGCTATCCGTCCTCGCATGGAAGAGACCGGAACCATTGAACGGCTTCTCCTCAATTCTCCGCTTCATCTCGTCCGGAAAATTGCAATTACGCAACCAGGCGTGTCTGCGGAGGGAAATGGCACCGACCAGCGACCTCGAATCAGAGTCCACGTGGTGCCTCGCGGTGGAAAGCTGTTGCACCGCCACTTGCATAGCTTCCTTAACAAAAGTCTTAGCAAGTTCGCCCTGGTTTCCCAGGAGGGTATCGATGATGGCGTCCAGGCGTTGCATAAGGAAAATACTGGTAACGCGCCAGGGTTGCCTCATAATTAGAAATTCATAAACCAAGGCCCGAAGCTGAGTATACCCGGCGGGCGAGGCAATCAACCTTTCTGCCCTCTTTGTCACGAGGTGAGGTGTGTCCACGGGCTTCCCGACCCTGCGAGGATTCTACAACAACCGAGTTCGGCTTGGGGTGACGGAGAAGAAACGGGATGTCCTCTTCCTGCACCCGATACATGGACTCGTATTTACAAGAAGTCGGTTGTGGGTGAGCTGGGAGGTCCCATGGCTGGGTCATTGCCTGCCGTAAGGTTGTAATAAATGGCAAGGCAATAAATGTGGATCGTTCGCCCCTGACCACATCATAAAAACGATCGGAGCTCAGTCCCGGCTGTTGGTGAGCTTCTATATCGAGCGATCTCACTAGTCTGGCCATCAAATCGTTAAATGATATATACGGTTCCTCAGGCGACCCCGGGCCTTGAGAAGCAACCGCTGCATTCGGTGAGGTCGAGTCAGCCTCAGACTCGTCGGATTCCATCCAGTAGGGGGGTGGTACACTGGAGGAAGAATCTCCTGGTGACTCTGATCTGCTACTTTCTTTAGATGGGGCCCTCGGGGCATCTCTGGGCGTTGAATGGAAACGTTCCCGAGGCGCTGGTGGAGAAGATTGTCCCCTAGAGGTCAGATAATAGGCTACGGAGTGGTACTCTTCCCATCTTGGAGTGGAGGAGTACCTGGAGTGGCACCAATCATCAGACCTCACATCCGAGGAACGGCTCCTACGGCTTCTTGGAGGGGAGATGGCGATCTCAGTATCCATCGGGATTGGAGGCATCGGGGTTGGTGATCGAGCTCTAGGTGGAGAATCTCGTATTTCCCCATCAGAGATGGAACCACGCCTTGAATCCAGAATGGGTTCACCTTCGGTTGGCGCGGTGAGCCCGGTGGGGTAACCCTCATAGCCGCCTGGATGGTTGGGACCGAGGGGGTCGGTTCCGAAGCAGGGATTGGAATCGAGGAAGAGGCCGAGCCCGAGTGGCGGTGTTTTGCCTGCTCAGGGTTCTTCAGCTTCTTAACCGGCTTGCCCGTCTTATCTTTCTTGGCCTTCTTATGCACAGGATATTTATCTGAGTCGCTGTGCTTTCTTTTTTCCTTTTGTTTCCTCAGCAGGGAAACAGACTGGTTGGCCATGGTATGAGCGCCTTCTTCAGAAGGGCTTGAGAGCGGAGCAATGGAGGAAGAGGATGGGCGTTGCGGCAGGTCAGCCGAAGTTGGACATCCTTCGGGTGGGGCCACAACAGTGGAAGGCTTAGCCACCAGCTGGTCCGATTGGAGGAGAGCCTGGTCCCATAAGAGTTTGCAGAGACGGTTCTCCCTGTTCTTCCTCGCCTGTTTAGAGAATGCCAAACAATGGCCGCACTTATCGGTTCTGTGCCCTTCCCCCAAACAAAGGAGGCACAGATCATGCGGGTCCACAGCGGGCATTTTGGAGCCGCATTTTCCGCACTTGCGGAATGCTGCCCATTGCGCCATCGTAGAAAGAAGAAAAAAGGAGATAGTAAAGCGGGAAAGTAATATTTCTGGTTTTTGTTTTTATAGGAATGATAAAGAGGAAAAAATGGTGCAAAGTTAAGAAAAAATGTAAGTGAAGTACTAACAACAAGAACAAGAGATACAAACTTGGTAGGCAAAAAGGAGAGATTTTCAAACGAGCAAGAAGGTAAGTAATAATCTTAGCAAGAGCGAAGCGGCACGAGGCACAACGAATGGTGGTCACAAAGAATGGAAAATGGCGGACACTCCGCTTCTTATATAATGCTAGGAGGGAGGGGGAGCGGAGTTCCCGCCAAAAACCGTTAGCTGCTAATCTTCCGGCCAAAGGCACTGCGCAGGCGCAGAACCCATATGTGTGATGCACAGAGGCCATGACGAAGAACTTGCCACAATTTGTTGTGATCCACACAATTAAAGGCTTTAGCATAGTCAATGAAGCAGAAGTAGATGTTTTTTTGGAACACCCTAGCTTTCTCCATGATCCAGCGTATGTTGGCAATGTGTTCTCTAGTTCCTCTGCCTCTTTGAAATTCTGCCTGTACTTCTGGTAGTTCTCGGTCCACATACTGCTGGAGCCTAGCTTGTAGGATTTTGAGCATAACTATTCTGGCATGTGTAATGCTGTAGTAGTTTGAACATTCTTTGGCATTGCCCTTATTTGTAAACTGACCTTTTCCAATACTGTGGCCACTGCTGAGTTTTCCAAATTTGCTGGCATATTGAGTGTAGCACTTTTACTGCATCGTCTTTTAGGATTTTGAATAGCTCAGCTGGAATACTGTCGCCTCCACTAGCTTTGTTGTTGCTCAGACTTCCTAAGGCCAATTTGACTTCACATTCCAGGATGTGTGGCTCAAGGTCAGCGACCACCCCATTGTGGTTATTAGGGACATTAAGCTCTTTCTTGTATAGTTCTTCTGTGTAATCTTGTCACCTCTTCTTAATCTCTTCTGCCTCTGTTAGGTTCTTGCCATTTTTGTCCTTTATCATGCCCATCTTTGCATAAAATGTTCCCTTCATATCTCCAATTTTCTTGAAGAGATCTCTCGTCTTCCCTTTTCTATTGTTTCTTCTATTTCTTTACACATTTCATTTAAGAAGGCATTCTTATCTCTTCTAGCTATTCTCTGGAACTCTGCATTCAATTGGATGCATCTTTCTCTCTTGCCTTTCATTTCCCTTCCTTCCTCAGCTATTTGTAAAGCTACCAAAAACCATCTTTAGACAGATTCTTCATCAAAAAGCATTTTATTTAAAAAATCCAATTTAATTTTTTTAAATCTGTTTTTTAAATCAAATCATTTTTTTAATCTACCCTTGCCAAATATGTGATTTAATCTGCATCCCTGATGGGGACTATAAGTAGTAAAAATAAAAAGACAAAAACAGATAAAAATAATCAAACAGTACTTTAAAATATAGTCAATAAATTTGTGGCTGCTCTTAAAAACAAGATGTTTCCAGGATGCACCAAAAGCAATGCAACACTGGAGCCTGCCTGACCTCCAGAGGAGCTGCTACACTGAGGGCTTTTTCCCCCACATGGATGCTAATCAGAACACAGGTCCATGCAGGACCATGCCATCTGATGATCTCAGTGGCTATGCAAGTTGATAAGGAAGCAGGCAGTCTCTTGAATATCCTAGTCCAAAGCCCTGGTCCTAAACAGGGCTTTATACACTAATACCAAATTCTTAAATCTGGCCCAGTGGCAATTAGGCAGCAGTGCAATTCCCTCAGAAAAGGGTTAGATACTGAAAAGGGGCAGGTCCTAACAACAGCTGAACCACTGTGTTCTGCACTAGTTCCAACTCCCACATCAGACCTGAAGGCAACCCTACATGGAAGGCATTGCAATAATTCAGTCTTAAGGTTATTAGCATTTGTACCACTGTGCCCAAGCTATCCCTGAAAAGAAGGCATAGCTAGTAAACCTGTCAAAGCTGGTAAAAGGCACTCCAAGGTGTTATGGTCACTTGGAATGCCAGCAACACTAATGGATCTAGGTGTACCCCAGACTATGATCTTTCAAAGGGGATGCAATCATATCCAGAACAAGCAATGAACTTATATCCTGGACTCAGAAACCACCATCTATAGTGTTTCCATCTTGTCAGGCTTCAGCTTCAGTTTATTGTCCCTCATCTAGCTGGTTGTAAAACCACTTGTACAATCCATGACACTGTTTTGTTCTAAGAACCTCTACCAGATTATCATTTGAAGCATGGTATTTGTAATGCTTGGCCAATTGGCCATAATTCAGTTCAAAGCCAGACATCATTCTTCAGAGTTATCTATTCCTTTTGGTCTACTTAATTGTGAGTACATCCAAGGATGCTTTCTTTTTGTGCTCTCTACTTTTATCTGCCCTCGAAGCAAGAGTAATATCACCAAGAATATTACATAGAAACATAGAAAACAGAGCGAGTCAGAAGGGGCCTCCCGGGCCATCTAGTCTGACCTCCGGCACCAGCCGGCTCCCCTCACAACATGCCCACCATGTGGACATCCAGCCTATCCTTGAACATCCGCACCGATGGGGCCTCAACGACCTCCTGTGGAAGCCCATTCCACACCCTCGGGGTCCTGACTGTCAGGAAGTGCTTCCTGGCATCCAAACGAAACCTTGGCTCCCTGAGCTTTGCTCCGTTGGAGCGCGTTCTGCCTTTCAGCAGCTACCTGTCATGAAGTCTACTTATTAGTTCCAATAATTGCACACACAGTATGCTTTTCAGTAGCATGGTGAACATTGCTGGTGAACATGAGCACAAGAGTGCTGTTGCACAAACCCTCCTCTCAGCTTGTGGACTTCCAGAGACACTTGGCTGTCCACTGTGAGAACAGAATGCTGAACCTTTAGTCAGGCCTTGAGTCTGATCTTACATTCTTATTCTTTCAGCACTCTGCACCATATTTGGAACACTCTGGAGTAATGACACAGGTCTCCAGAAAATTCAAATTGAAATTTTTTTTAATGCAAATCATTCCAGCTTGCATAGGTTCATTCACAATAAAATTTAAAGACAATAGTATATACTCCCCTTATTGCTTACATGTAAGAAAGAAACAAAAGTACTGAAAATTGCTGAAACACTAAATTAGCCTTCTACCATCTGATGCCATCCAAATATTTAGAACTACAGCTCCTAGCATTCTTTAGTTAGCACCAAGCCACCAGTTTGGGAAATTTTGCACAAATTAATTTTAGCAACCAAAAGAACTTTGCATGATATGCTGACAATTTACTCACCTATTTCGACACAGTTTGATACTTTTCCATTGAAGCTGTTGGAACACCTTCAGTTTCACTGCTACTACTTACTGGTTCCATTTTAACACTTTTAATATATATGTATTTCAATGAGATACATGTATTCTCTCACACACTTTCTAGGGACAATTACCTGAAAAACATTAACTCTGCCAACTGCCAATCTAACTTATTACTGTTATTTGCATTTGCCATCTATTCATTGTTGCTAATAAATTTATGAAACAGATTTTTTCCATGAATATTTATGCACCAGAGAATTTTCCAATTTAGAAAACTATCTGCAAAATATTTTCCACCCCACATCACTGCTTTGGTCACTTGTAAGATCTTTTCACAGAATCCAATGTATGCTAAGAGTCTTACAAGAGTAATCTGGCATGCCACCCAATTCTCATTATCTGCTTCCCTCATCTCAGGAGCTGACCCTACATTACCAGGCCCAGAGTTTCCTTTTTGTCTTCCATCACCTTGTATGTTCATTTAGAACTCCACACCCTTTGAAGCACCCTTTGCTTTTAGACTATACCTGTTTCAGTAATACAACCCAAATTGTCTTGATGCTTCAACTTACCCCTAGGATGAACCCTGGAAGGCTTTGCACTATGTACTTAAATGTTGGGGCCAGTGATGGTAACTCAGCACCAAGGGAATCCATGCCCAGTGGAAGAATGCAGCACAGTTCTTAAGAACTGCTGTCTCAAGTGTTTTAATCCTTCTGTGGCCAAGCTAAGGTCATGAGTCAGGTGTCTCTAAAACTTAGCAAGCTTCTTACCCTTGCTGCTTTTCCGTCAGTTTCTTGCCTCAATTCATATTTATTTTCCTTTAGCTAGGAACCTAAGAGGCTTTGCTTCATAGTCTTCCATTCCAAGCTATATTTTTAGAAACACAGAAACAGAGTGAGTCAGAAGGGCCTCCTGGGCCATCTAGTCCAACCCTCTGCTCCAGCCGGCTCCACTCATGACATTTTTAAACTACATTTTGTGCTGCACAAGGCAAGGTTCATAATAATGACTTGGCTTTCCATTATCATCTATGTCCAAAGATGGTCAATAAATCAACCTATAAGAATGTGGCAACACACAGTTATTTTCAGGCCCATTCAGATCAAAGCCAAAACACTTTGATGTCCAAATGCTGACAAAAGCCAGGGTAAACTGCCCACTGTTGAGTTTCCACACCAAACTCTAAAGCAAAGTTTTGTGTGTTTCTCTTCTTCTGAAACAGATACATACCTGCTCTGATTTTATTCCTTTCACCTTCTCCTGATATTACTCTGAAAATAATCATTCTGACCCTTACATGGCCCACCTGGAACCACTAGAACTCAAGGTCCTGCAAATATTGTTCTCTCAGTTCCCTTATTTGGTGGGTCCTAACTTCCAGCATTAGTCTTTTCTGTTCTGTCACTGTTTCTAGGAATACTTTGCTGGTCAGTAGCATAGACAAGGGAATGATATACTATACTAACAATTTTTTTTTTCTTTCTTAGGGATAGCACCATCATACAGCTGATGAAATGGGCTTTAGTCTGTACCAACTCGTCATATTAAATGCTGTAAAGAAAGATTTGGATTCTTGGACAAGCAGCTACAGTTCCTGGAAGATGGACTATTGGCAAATGTTGGGTTGCATGTTACAAAAAACAGAAAGCATGTGTTTGGCCACTACATGAAAAAGTTCATCAAGAGGTCTTTAAACTGAAACATACAGGAGAGGGAGATGTGCAGCATGGCATACCATCACATGACAAGGAATTATGTATTTCAACAGAGAAAAAACTTCAAGCAGGGCTTAACATCAGTTTCCCAAAAACTGTAGGAAGAAACCAGGATGCAACAAAATTGAACTTTGATGTCTATTTTGGGTATTACATGAACAGAGCTAAGAGTCAGACTAGATGGCCAGGGAGACCCCTTCTGATTCACTATGTTGCTACGTCTATATTCCAATGCCCAGCATATGGGAAATAAACTTCTGCTCATAGTACTTGAGGGCAATTATAATCTTATAGGAATAAATGAAACTTGGTGGGATGTCTCACATGACTTGGATGTCTACAATTTACAGGACAAAAAGGGAGGTAGAATCATACTATATGTAAAAGACACATATATCTGCACATAGATATATCAAGAAGAACTTAGCGGCCTCATTGAAAGCATCTGGGTTAATTTAAAGGAAGCAAAGAATTTAAAAATTTATTGGCATCTATTGTAGACCACCCAGTCAAAAAGAGGACAAGGACAGAACCTTCAAAAAGCAACTTGCCAAATTTTCCAATAATGATGTAGTCATCATGGGGGGGCTTTAATTTCCCTGCTATACCCTGAGAGAAAATTTCTGCCAAAAATGGCCCCTCCAAGAGATTTCTGGCATGCATTGCTGACAACTTCCTCCAGCAGAAGGGAGAGGAAGGAAGGGGAGGGATGTCTGTTCTCAATTTAATGTTTATTTATCAGATTTCTAACCTGCCCCACTAGCTCCACAGCTCCCTTGGCAGGTTACAACCATAAAACTATACAAAACAGTATAAAACATTTCAAACATTAAAATGTCAATAAAACAATAAAAGCACACCCACCACAACTCCAAATTTCATAAAAGACATATCCCCTTCTGTTAAAATAGCATTAAGAATCAGTTTAACAATTAAAATATTGACGGAATGAAAAGGTCTTTGCCTGGTGCCAAAAAGAATGCAAAGATAGCACCAGGCAAACCTCTCTAGGGAGCTTATTCCCATGTCCGGGCACTGCTCCTGAAAAGACCCTTCTTGTAGCCACCCTCCTTATATCTTGAGGAGGGGGCTCCCTCAGAAGGGCCTCAGATGCAGATCTAAGGGGCCAGGCAGGTTCATATGGCAAGAGGCACTCCTCTAGATACCCTGGCCCCAAGCCGTTTAGGGCTTTAAACTCTAGAGTGAACACCTTGAATTGGGCCCAGACTTCAATTGGTAACCAGTGAGGATGCTAGAGGACTGGCTTTATAAGGTCATGTCTGCAGTCCTCATTAGCAGTGTGGTTGCACTATTCTGCACCACCTGAAGTCTCTGGGCTGTCTTCAAGAGGAGCTCCACATGAAGTGTATTGCAATAGTCTAGACACAAGGTTGCCAGTGCATGGATAACAGTTTGTTTATTTTATTTGGAGCATTTTTATCCCATCCTATACAAAAGTCTCAGAATGGTGATACAAAACAGAAGTGGCAACATACAAATACAATATAAATATGATAGAACCAATATTAAAGTCACAATAACAGTTGCTAGGTCCTGTCTATCCAGATATGGCTGCAGCTGATAAATCAGCCTCAGCTGATAGAAGGTGCTCCTGGCCACCAAATCCACCTGGAATTCCAGAGGCAATTCAGGGTCCAGCATCCCAAAGCTGTGAACCTTGTCCTTTAGGGGAAGTGGGACCTCATCAAGGACAGGCAAGATATCTCCCATCTGAAAAGATGATCCTCCCACCAACAGTATCTCCATCTTATCTAGATTATACTAAAAGGGGAAAGTGACTAGATAAAGAATTCTCAATTATAAAAGAGACAGAAGTTAACCGCAGCCAAACTGGACTTCAAGACAGCCAGCTTTAGTGAACTCAGAACAATGATAAGCAAGGTGCCATGGCAATTCATTCTTAAGGGAAAAGGAGTTCAAGAGGGGTGGGAAATCTGGAAGAAAGAGATTCTCCAAGCACAACAACAAACACTTCCAACAAGAGGAAAAAGTGTAGAAGACAACAGAGGAAGACCTCGTGGTTCCACAAAAAGTTAAGTGACAACCTCAAAAAAAGAGTATGTCCAGGAGGAAGAAGCAGGGTCAAGCAACAAAGGAAGAATATAAACAAACAGCAAGGCATTGCAGGGATAGCATCAGGAAGACTAAAGCAGGAAATGAATGGAGATAAGAGTTGCTAAAAACAAGCAAGCCTTCTTTAGATATGTTCAAAACAAAAGACATATGAAAGAGAAAGGTGTTCATGTACTTGAAGTGGCACAAAGTGATAACAGATGACAAGGAAAAGGCAGAGGTGAGCAATTCCTGCTTTGCCTTACTACAGGCTGAAAGTGAAGTATGGCATCCCAAAATCAACAAACAAATGGTTAGGGATTATCTAGATGGAATAAAAAAACATTCAAATCTCCAGGGCCCAATGAACACCATCCTAGAGTCATAAATGAGCTAGCAAGAAACTAAAAAAAAAAAAAACACTGGATATTATCTTTGATAAATCATGGAAAACAGGAGAAGTGCCAGATGTCTGGCAAAGGGCTAATGTTGTCCCTACCTTAAAAAATGGAAAACAAGATGAAACTGGGAATTACAGACCAGTTAGCCTGACATCAATCCCAGGAAAAATTCTGGAGCAAATTATTTAAAAAATCAGTCTGCAAGCACCTTGAAGAAAATATAGTGATTAAAAGCCAACATGGATTTATCAAAAATAAATCCTGTCAGACTAATTTAATCTCATGTTTTGATGGGGTAACCTCCCAAATGGACAGCAGAAACAATGTGGACATAATCTACCTCAACTTTAGCAAAACTTTTGACATAGTGCCCCACAAATTCCTGATAAGCAAACTAGCAAAAAGTGGACTAGACAGAAAAACTATTGGTTGGATCCAAAATTGGCTGTCAAATTGGACAGAAAGAGTGCTCATCAATGGCACCTGCTCAAACAGGAGGGAGGTAACTAGTGAGGTGCCGCAGGGTTCAGTCCTAGGACCAGTGCTCTTTATTAATGATTTAGATGAGGAAGTACAAGGACCAATAATCAAATTTGCAGACAATGCAAAACTGGGTGGAATAGCAAACATGGTGCAGGACAGAATGAAGATTCAGGACAAGCCTGATAAGCTTGAATGCTGGGCTGAAAGCAGAATGGGTTTTAATAGGGATGAGTGCCAAGTCTTCCACCTAGGAAAAAGAAACCAAATGAACCAATACAAGATGGGGAAGATGTGGCTTAAAAGAACCGAAAAGGA